AAACGCAAACTTGCTACTATACGATACGCTATCACCTATGTAAAAAGTACACAGGAGAAAGACTTGAAATAAAGATAACGAAAGGTCATGAGCATTTGCTCACTGGAAGTGGAATTTCTATGTTCTGCCAGTGTTCCACAAGCTCATATCACTCTCACAATCGGGAAAGACCCGAGCGGTGCTCAGGGAGTCACCTGGAGGGGCTGCCACTCGGGGTCCTCAGCTGGTAGAGCAGCCCTTGTCGTGACACTGGGCGTGAGCCCGGGTCCAGGTGGGCGCCGGGCAGCTTCTCGAGGAGCTCACACCGGGACGGGGACACGACGTTCCATCAAAGTGACCGAACAGCAATCAGCGAGGAGGGCGCAGCGCCTTCGGGCTCAGGGGGGCCGTCTGGGGGAGGCGCCCTTTGAGCTGAGGCCCACGGCAGCCGCGCAGCTCGCAGTCACCACCACGAGCAAAGGCGCAGACGCAGGACGGGAAGAGGTGGCCACTGGCTCAGCTTAGAGTCTGGGGCTTGGGGCTGGGAGGGAGAAGACACGGACTCGTGGGAGCGGCATGCGGGGGCCCTTGGTGCCCTACTGAGGAGCGCGGCCTTCAGCCCACAGGCCCACGCTGTCGCGCAGCGCCTGCCACACAGGCCTCGCCCACGCACGCCGCCAGAGAGAAGGCCGGCAGGTTCCTCTTCTAGTGCATTGACAGAGACCTCGGGCCTCAAGGAATGAAATAACATACTCGTCATTTCATAAGTCTCCAATGGAAAATTTGAATAAATAATCAGCATCTCATTTTAAAAAAAAATCAAAGACATCAGATAAGTAAACAATCCCCCCAAAACCTCACGAAACCCAATAACCCTGATAAATCAGGAGGCTCACACAGGTGTGCATGCTACCTGCAAATTGCTGCAAAGATAGGAGAGCTTGGGACAGGCAAGTGGATTCCATTTGGGAGCATTAATGCACGTTCAATTATCCCACTGCATGCCGGCTGACTTAACTCAGCCAAATTAGAATACATTTTATATTGACTATTTTGACATTTGTTTTATTTGGCAAGTAAAACAAAACTGATCCAATTTCCTTGCAGCCATTGTAAACCATAAACTGTACAGTGGAGGTTATAAAATATATAAGCCTTATAAACACTTTGTTCTGACGCGTTACTCTCCGATTCTGCCCAGCTCCCAGTGGCCTGGTGTTCTCAGGCCCTCTTGCTTCAGTTGCAAGTCACACTCTATTTTCATGCTGACCAGCACGTTTCTGGGCAGATCACTCTCTCTGCTTTATCTGGGGGAATGAGTGCTCTCTTTCTTTATCCAACAGAAAGTTAAAACGTGCCCTGCCTGGTCCATTTCTGGGCTTAGTCAGACAACCTGTTATCAATGGGGAATAGCTGTAACTGCTTCAGGGCAACTGATCCCCTGGGGACTTTCCAGCCTCTTCAAGGAGCCCAAACTTGAGATAACCCTGGGCACAGGTGAAGGGCCTGAGCTGACCCTGAGCACAGGTGAAGGGCCTGAGCTGACCCTGAGCATAGGTGATGGGCCTCAGCTGACGCTGAGCACAGATGATGGGCCTCAGCTGAGCCTTAGCACAGGTGATAAGACTCAGAAAACGCTGAGAAGAGGTGATTTTAGCCTCAGCTAACCCGGAGAACAGGTGATGGGCTTGAGATAACCCTCAGCACAAGTGACAGACCTGAGCTGAGCCTGAGCACAGGTGATGGGGCTCAGGGGAGCCTGAGCACAGGTGATGGGCCTGAGAGAACCTTGAGTAGAGGTAACGGACTTCAGCTGACCCTGAGCACAGGTGATGGGCCTGAAAGAACCCTGAGCACAGGTGATGGGTCTCAGGTGAGCCTGAGTTCAGGTGATTGCCCTATAGTGATTGGAGCAGAAGTGATGGGCCTCATCTGACCCTGAGAATAGGTGATGGGCCTCATCTAACCCTGAGCAGAGGTGATGGGCCTGAGAGAACACTCAGCCCAGGTGATGAGCCTCAGCTAGCCTGAGCACAGGTTATGGCCCTGGGAGAACCCTCAGCACAGGTGATGGGCCTCAGCTGAGCCTCAGCACAGGTGATGAGGCTGAGATAATCCCGATCACAGATGTTAAGCCTCAACTGACTGAGCAAGGTGATTAGGCTGCACTGACTTCATTATAGGCGATGGGCCTGAGAGAACCCTGACCACAGGTGATAGCACTCAGCTGAGCCTGAGCACAGGTGATAGGGCTCAGCTGAGCCTGAGCACAGGTGATGGGCCTGAGAGAACCCTTAGCACAGGTGATCGACCTCAGCTGAACATGAGTAAAGCTGACTGGCCTGCTCTGACTCTGGCACAGGTGATGGGCCTCAGCTGATCCTCAGCACAGGTGATGGGCCTGAGAGAACCCTTACCATGGGTTATTAGCCTCAGCTGGGCCTGAGTACAACTAATTGGAGTGCAGTCACTCCAGCATAGGTGATAGGGTTTAGCTGAGCCTGAGCATAGGTGAGGGGACTAAGAGAACCCCTAGTACTTATAAAAGGCCTCAGCTGAGCCTCAGCACAGCTCATGGGCCTCACTGGCCTGAGAAAACACTCAGCACAGGTGATGGGGCTCCACTTACCCTGAGCACAAGTGATGGCCCTAAGAGAATCCTCAGTACCAGTGATGGCCTCAGCTGAGCCTGAGCAGAGGTGATGATCCTCATCTGACACTGAGCACAGGTCATGGGTCTGCGAGAACCCTAAGCATTGGTGATGGGCCTCAGCCGAGCCCCAGCACAGGTGATGGTTCAGAGAGAACACTAAGCACAGGTGATCGGCCTCAGCTGAATATGAGTAAAGCTGATTGGCCCACACTGACTCCAGCACAGGTTATGGGCCTCAGCTGAGCCTGAATACAATTGACTGGAGTGCAGTGACTCCAGCATAGGTGATGGACCCCAGCTGATCCTGAGCACAGTGATGGGGTTTAGCTGAGCCTGAGCACAGGTGAGTGGCCTAACAGAACCCTGAATAGCTATAATAGGCCTCAGCTGGGCCTCAGCACAGGGGATGGGCCTGAGAAAACATTCAGCACAGGTGATGGGGCTCCACTTACCCTGAGCACAGGTGATGGCCCTGAGAGAACCCTCAGCACCAGTGATGGCCTCAGCTGAGCCTGAGCAGAGGTGATGATCCTCATCTGACACTGAGCACAGGTCATGGGCCTGAGAGGACCCTAAGAACAGCCGATGGGCCTCAGCTGAGCCTGAGTACAGACATAGGCCTGAGAGAACCCTGAGCACAGATGATTGGCCTATGATGAACCTGAATACAGCTGATTGGCCTGCACTGACTATAACACAGGTGATGGGAGTCATCTGAGCCTGAGCACAGGTGATGGGCCTGAGAGAAGCCTGAGCACCTGTGATGGGCCTCAGCTGAGCCTAAGCACAGGTGAAGGGCTTGACAGAACACTCAGCACAGCTGATGGGCCTCAGCTGAGCCTGAGCTCAGGTGATAGCCCTCTGCTGAGACGGAGCACACCTGATGGGCCTCAGCTCAGCCTCAGCAGAACCTGAGCTGATTGACCTGTACTGACTCGAGCAGAGGTGATGGGCCTCAGAGAACCCTAATCACCGGTGATGGGCCTGAGATAACCCTGATCAGAGGTGATGGGCCTCAGCTGACCCTGAGCACAGGTGATGGGCCCGCACTGACTCCAGCACAGGCGATGGGCCTGAGACCACCTGAGCACAGGTGATGGTGATCTTGGCAGTGCCTTCCAGGGTAGCGCTGTGACAGTGCTCTTGGTCAGTGAGAAAGGAAGGAACAAGTGCTGCCTGTGCTGTGCCAGCCTCACACTCCTGAACCAAAGAAGGAGGTGCAACTGTTCAACCTGAAAATCTGGGAGGCTCATTCCTGTCGTTTTAGACCAAAGGGAAACTGAAAACTACTACTGAAGTTTCAGGTGATTCCAGAGGTAAATTTAAATGCCACTCTTGGTTTGTGAAACCGTCACAAGAAAGACCCGACTGTCTTTATAGGGGGATATCCCCACACAAAGAGTCCTGGGGGCTTCAGGGCTCATTGCGGCTGCGTGTGCCCAAGCGAGGCAGATGCTGGCTTAGAGGAACTGAGTGCCGCCAGCCAAGGGCGCCTCCCCGAGGGCAGGGTGTGGCGTGGGGGGCCAGGAGGACCCCACTGGTGACTATTTTGTCCTGTTCCTGACAGATTATGTTCATGTCTATGTCGCCACACCAGCTTTGAGATCCACTTTTGTTAAGTGGCATCAATCCCCAAGCGATGATGCCGCACCACTCTCATGCTGACTTCCGTAATCCCTTTCTCAACTGACTCCATCATTGCCGTCTCTTCCTTGCCCTCAAACAATTTACCCCTCACGACGCAGCGGATTTTTATTTGACAGGACTCTTTCTGCCATCTGATTTTTGCAAAAAGTGTGGAGACTATGCTACTCTAGTATCACTGAAATCAGCTGCAGGGCGGCCAGTTTCTTTGTGGAAACGATTATTAAAACTAACATTTCCTGAAAAACTTCTCGTTGTTCTCTCATATGCAAAGTACCCATTTCTTAGTCTGTAGCTCACTGGGAAAAGAAACTATATGAAAATGAATATAATTACTTACCAACTCTCCTGGGTTTCAAATGAGTAGCTGGCCAAGGCAGAAAAGGAATTCAACCTTCATAATATAAGGCCAGTGGCCCTAACCACATGGCCACAAAGCACGTGTCTGTGCGTATCTACAAGTTCCTTTGAATATCAAGCCAATTTTAAGGTGCATATTCTGCTATTTTAGAAGCCTGCGGAATATGTACAAAATAGAATACAGAACGGCCTTTATGTTCCTATAATGCAAAGATTTCTAACTGGAGTTTTAAAAATCTCCTCTAAAGGTACATCACGTCTACAGTTTTTTAGTTATGTTCTGCACTGTTTCTGCAGATGCTAATGCTTTGCAGGGGGACCCAGGACCACATGACAGCATGAGACACCAGCACCAAGGCCTCACCTGGGCAGGTTGGGGGCTGGGGTGGAAGCAGCTGACGACTGGGAAGGCGTTGTGGGTTGGGATGAGTCGTGATTTCTCGGTACTCTGCCCATTCGGTACCAGATCCCCATGCTGTTCAGTTCCCTGTAGGAGAAGAGAGAAAGCTTCATGGCTCTGGCTAGCACAAAGCATTTACCTGCGCGACAAAGCAAACCAACTCATTTGAAATGTCAGTAGCCTCAAACACCAGGGGGTCAATGCTTGCCGAGGTGAGAGGGGTTATGTCCCCTCCTTTGTGTTCCTGGCATCACAGTTCACACCCTAACATGAGGGCGACTGTCCCATCCAGGCAGGCCTTTATGACGAGGCCACCTCCTTCACCCACCCTGAGCTTGCCCGCCTTCCTGCCCTGTCCCTTTCCTTCTCAGTCTTTAAACTTCTTTTGGTTCCGCCATTTAATCGTGGGTAGTTACGTGAGGATCCATGTCACGTCCTTTGTGCTGCTGGGGAGACAGATGGAGAAATGGACAGACAGACATGGTCACTGGAACCACGAGACAGATGAGGCCCCCCCCAGCCCTCACTCTATAACACACCCCAACTTCAGGATGCAGCCCCTGATAGCTGGGTGCCACCTGCTCACCTCATTCGCAGGGTCAGTTTGGGAGACATCTTCAAACCACAAAACCCCAAGGCACAGGCCCTACAAGCCCCAACTAGGAGGGGGCACAAAGGAGCCTCGCAGGGGCCCTGTCAGGTCTCCTGTGACTCAGACACACGCCCGCCGTGCCCGGCCCCACACCAGGCAGCGGCCAGTGTGTATGGGACAGGCACACTCACGTGCCCCACAGAACTGCATCTTTCAGACCTGATTTAGAGGAATATCATTTCTTCAAAAAATGAAAAAAAAAAAATTTATTCTGTGGCTACTTCTAGTAAGCTTCTCGGTACACTTGGGGAACTGTTTTAAACCACAGTTCGGTCTCATCAGATGAGTGACCCCAGGCAGCTGCACTGATTTTTGCCGCAGCTCAGTCTGGGCCTCCGGCTGCCGGGCTCTGGGGGAGCCTTCGGGAAGTGAGGTTCCCGCTCCCCCAGCCGACAACTCCGAACCTTTGCAAAATAACATGTAGAACTCCGTCCGATTTTTAGAAGTGACTTAGGCATCTGAATGCTGAATTCTCTTTCCTAACTTAGACACTGCCCTGCAATTGTCTTCCTCTGGAAAAGAACTTTAAGCCCAAGATAAAACAAAACTATAGCAATTCTATTGGTAAAAAATCTATTCTTTAGAATTGTTTAAATTGGTAAAAAAATGGAATCTTTTCACAACAGTTTGTAATTAAAAATACACACATAGCAACTGAAATTGGCCTTTAAAAGTTCATTACCAAATTGTTGGTTTCGACTATTTGTATGTTAATGGCTGCTTCCACGGTCCCTGCAGCATGGTTGTTCTCTTAACTGTTCCTATCCTGTGAGGCCGTTTACATCGCTAGTGTAAACCGTGTTGCAAAACGGGATTTTTGGGTGTGCAGGAAGGGAATGACCACTCACGGAGCCCTTTAGAACCACAGTCTTGACTCAGAGCACGCAGATCCACAGCTGATGAGTCTAAAGACACTGTCTCGCGCCAAGACGGAGCGAGTCTCTATCTCTGCGAGACCAGCTCCGCCCCCACGCGCTGTACGCCGGTGCCTCGGGGCCGTCCCTGCCCTGTCTGGGACAGGAGCAAAGGCCCTGGCGTGTAGAGTGCAGAGGAGGCTCTGGGCTCAAACGAACCGGGGCAAAACAGAGCACAAACCAGACCCAGGAGGCCGACCTCGAAAGCCAAGAGGGAGAGAGCATCCGGGGAACCCACAGGGATGAGGGTGCTGCCTGCAAAGCCCGGCCAGGGAGATAGGGGTCGAGGGGGCTGACAACCACCTGCCACACTGACCGCTGTCACCAAAGTTCAGTCAATAGAGGAGAGAGACCTTCTGTTTCCTTTGGGACATGCAGCACCCCTCGCCTCCCTTTCCGACTTTGTACCGCTCATCCCCCCTACCAGCCGTGAACTGGGGGCAGCCACCCCGTCGTCGTGGTTAGTTCCAACGGAGCTGACTCTGCTTCTGGCTCGGGCCTGGCCAGAGAGCAGACTCGCTCTCCGCCTCCGCACCTGAACCTGCTGAGAAGCAGGTGAACTGCTGCACCGCCTGCTTCCCCCAGGGGAGAACGTGCATCTGGACACGGTCTGCCCAGAGGCACCGGAGCCGGGAGGAGACAGGAACTAGATCCTAGCGACGTCCTCCCAGCTCCTACTTCCAGCCGCGCCTGGAGCCACGCTGCCCCCTGAACTCTGCTGTTATGTCAGCCAACAAATTCTTCCTTCTGCCCGAGCCAGGCTGGGTTGGGTTTCCTGTCACTTACAGTCAACAGAGCCCAAGGTGAAATCCTGAGATTCCACTGCACACAGTATTTATGGAGCAGCGCGGGCCGCCGCTCGGCGCTAAGACGATGGAGGAACCACTGAGACGCAAGTGGCCTGGCTGCAGCAGCTTGACCAAGACTGCTCAGCGAATCGCCACGCACTCATGTAACGTGTGTGCCTCCTCCTGCCTCAGGACGCTCCAGTGGCCTCCACGTTCTTGGGATAAACCCAGGCCGTGTCCTAGGAGGTCCTGCCAGCCCTTCCACTCACCCCAGCACTGTCCCTGGGGCGCCCCTTCCAGCCACACTGGGCCGCTTTCCGTGCCCAGGACGGGCCGTGCTCATGCCCACCGTGATCCCTGCTCTTCTGCTCTGCCCGGGAGGCTCTTCCTTCATGTCTCTGCATGGCTGGTTTCTTGACATTTAGGTCTCTGCTCAAGTGTCACCTTCCTGACCCCCTGACTGAAGTAGCCCCCACCCCATCAGTGTGTTTCATTTTCTTCACTATCTGAAATTATCTCATTTACTTTCCTGTTTATTGCTTGCCTCTCCCTTGTAAAGCGTCAGCTCCGCAACAGCAGGGCCTGGCCTCACCTGCTTCCACGCCCAGTGCCCTTGGCCCAGTGGCACAAAGCAGGGTGCCCTCAAATCTCACCAACGGGCGGTGCGGAGAGGTGAGGCCCAGGGGCATCCCCGGGCACCTGGGCAGGACCCACAAGGGCTCGAAGGGTGAGTGCACAGGACAGGGGAGGGAAAGGCCCTAAGAGTGAGATCCGCGCGATTAAGACTTACCCGATAAACGTGTACTGAGGCGGGGCCTGCTTGGTGCGGCCCATGATCCGAATGTCACAGATTGCGGCTTCCGTTGAATCTCGTGGAATAAATTTAATGCACAGCCTCTTCTTTCTAAAAGCCACCTCCTCTGAAAGAAAGAGCAACAGAAAAGGTATGTGTCTTCCAGAGCTGCCACCACCTCTATTCTGAAATCCACGTCACCTGTTCCCAGCAGCAGCAGTGACAGGTCATGGCTGAGCTCTACCCTCTGCCTCCCCCGGGCTCCGGTCAGCTGGCTTTGCACTCAGGACCTGACCACAGATACCCCTCCCCGCGAAGGGGCTCCTAGGAGCACGCACACCTCTGCGGGAAACCCGGGGTGGCTTCTAAAAGCCACGGCCCCAATCTCTCCCCGCTCAGCCATCAGAAACCCTCACACTGACGCCATGAGCAGTGACACACCTCACCCCATGGATTTTTCTTTTTCACTTTTCGTTACAGAAATCTTCAAACAAACCCCAAAGTAGGAGGAACCAGCAGACTGAATCCACGTGTCCCGCCACCCAGTTTCCACACCGTCAGCGATGGACGAGCCGGTTTCCTCTCCTCCTGCCCCTGTAGTTCTGTTGGACATCGACACTGAGTCCTCAACCCCGTGTCATGTCACTGTCAATATCGCCGTAGGCACCTAGGACGGGTACTTTTTTTTTTTTTTTAACATGAAAGATCAGTCATCAGGGACGGAAAAATGCCCAGAGGGATGGCGGTTGGGGACCTGCGTCACCGAGGTCCCCGGCCGACACCACCGGACCTTGGAGAGGCATGGCTGACTCCGGGCCGCCTGACGGCGCCACAGGGAGTACACCTGCCCCGGGAAGCGCCTGTGCCGAAACCCTAACCGGAGTCTAACTGAGCCGTTAGCTCTGTCAGCTTACGGGAAGCACAGGGAATGAGCCAGTTCCTCCAGCCCATCGCGCCCTGAGGAGGGCAGGGAGAGTTAGGGAATAAAACGGACTCAGAGGTTGACGCCCGAATGCAGCACCTCGGTGTCGTGTGGAGCTTGACCCAGACCAGACGGAGAAGCGTTGAATGCAGACTGTCCACTGGACGACCGTAGGGACGTTTGTCATTTTGTTAGGAATGGTAATAGCATGGTGGTCC